ATGGTTATTCCGGTGCCGAGAATGAATGAACTTAAAACACACACTCTTGTTGAAAACAAAACAATAAAAACAACAACATATTTTCTGTAGTAATTTTTCAAGTGTTGTAAAATGAAAACGAAATTCGTCTTATGCCGCCTATTCCTTTTAGAACACAAACATATAAGTTCTTTTTATTTGATTTATTCAAATAAACATTAATCACTTCAGCGCGCGCAAATATCATTTTCAAATTAAAATTTCGTAAGGTATGTTGATCAATTTCCCATGCTCGACTGTAAGTCATTCGTATATATATGCGTTTTTATGTTTTGTTTTTTAAAGTTTCTTATTCTTTAATATGTATCTCATAATCTGTATTGAAAATTTTATCACACACGAACTATCAAATTATGATTCGTTGCCCTAGAATTGAATAAACTTTCTAATTACACAATACGGGGTCATTCATTTGATTGAAGACTGATCTTTGCGTCTTTCTCTGAAATAATTATTTCCTTGTTAAAACATATTTGACCACATGTTTCTGTCATTTAACTGTTCACTTTACTTCCGATTTTTGTTGTACCGAAACACATGTTTCTATTTGTGTTTTCTATTCGAATCTATAATCAGTTTAATGGGATCACCACCGGGTAAACGACTACTAGGTACTTTAGTAATGTTTTTACCCCAAATATTTGAATGTTTCTATTGGGATTAAAATGAGCGTAAATAACTAAACTGCTGGTTGTATAAATCCCTGACCTCTCTAATTCTAATTATGAGATTAGTGGATAACTACAAAAGAGCACATGTTTAAATTTATTCCTTTACAAATAAAAGGTCAGAGTAGGGATCTGTCAATTGCCAGACATATTTTTAAAAGATACTTTTATGTTAAAAGTTTGATTAATGAATTATGTAAGATGAAAATATAAGTATTGCTTTTTTTTTTTTTGCTAATATTAAATGTAATCTTGTGGTGAAATTTTGTCGGAGGGTCCTTACGGATTTTGTAGTTAAATAGTTTTTTTTTCGGCGATACATGGTTTAAGAATATAATGTTTTCAAACTATATGTTCATCACCATTAGTGAATTTTTAGTTAAATGTATGCAAAATATTTACTAACAGCTATATGATATAGCGGTTTATGAGCGTTTTCCGCGTACAGCCTCCTAAGGTGTACTAATAAGTTAGTTTTCCTTAGTTATCACGCAAGCATGATCCATGTCTCTGATGTAAGCGACAGTTTACCATTATTTGTCTTTTAAAAAATATTAAGGACTATTAATGGTTTATAACAACAAAAGAACATGCATGATATTGAGACTACGGTGTTGCAACGTTCTAGTTAATGACCCGTCATAAACAGTTGGTCGCTGCGTAGTAATTGGAAAATTGTTATCAAAAATAATAAAGAATGTTTGCCACCTAATTAAAGCATTTACCTATAAATTTTCATTTATGCTTTTTGTTTAAAAAATATTGATAAAGTTATTATATAGAAGGGTTTTCATACCAGAACTATTAATTACCAACGTACGTATGCCTAAACCTGATTACCGCGGCAGTATGACGTCACGGAGTAGTGATTTTGAAAAAATAACAAACAAAAATCAAGAATTTTTCAGAGAATTATTATCTTTACAAATTGCAGATATGAAATAAAAGAATGCAAATATTATCATATTGTAAATGTCTGTGATGAGTGATGAGTCAGCTTAGTACTATTTTTTGACCTGATTACCGCGGCAGTAAGATTTGACGGACGGTTATTAACATTGGGTCGGCATAGCCTCCCCAAAAATCCGTAAATGTTACTAAAAATAGCGGTGTAGGAAAATCTTATCTCACATGGGCTTATCTCACACTCAACGTGCAGCACTTCACTTCTACATACGCGTATCACTCCTATTTTGACAAAAATGAAACTTAAAAAGGTCAAAATGTATTAAAAATATGTGAGCTAATCTATTAAATTGTCCACGGAATCAAAATTGATTGATATTAATTTTCACAAAACTGCAATGAGTCCTACTTTCAATATCGATCTGTTACTAAAAATAGCACACTTTAAAATATCGTGAAATTCTTCGTAAAATCGGATATTATGACACGTTGCCTGAAGAACATCCATGTTTTCGGTTTTCGGTTATGATAACGATGCTTCTTGATGACGAATCTCATTATGATATATTTTAATAGATTATTCGGCCAAAATAACGGAATAAGTAGAAAAATCTTTGCAAACGGTAAACGCTTTTTGTCAACCATTTAAGTAACACTTATATTATGACACTTTCCGACTTAAATATTGATGTGTTTTATCATGATAACCTTGCTTTTGGATGAGGGATCTCATATGAATTTATTTTCATTGAATTTTTCACACATAAACTTGGTCAGTAGAATTGTTTGCGGACGAACGTCAGGCGCCTAAGCCCCGCTCCGCTTTTCAAAACTAGGTACGTTGTAATGCGCGTAGCAAGTAGTTTCACTGATATGTATTGTGTCCAGGTGAGTGAGAAAAATATTCAATCATCGGGTTAGATAGAGGATAGGGAAATCCCAACCCTCGGGCAATCGGTTCCATCGGTAACTCGCCAAGGCTCGTTCCCAATTGAACCGATCACCATCGGGTTGGGATTTCCCTATCCTCTATCTACCACAATGATAGACTTTTAATCCAACACCACATTGCATTTCCACGCTTGACTCCCCTATTCTTTACACAATTGACAAGTAGTCTAGTGAAAAATACCCTTTTGTTCTTCAAATGTCCTAAAATATAGCATAAAACATACAACAATAAAAGCAGATAACTTGAAAACGAACTCCATGACATAATGTTTTGCTTTAAACGTTTTTGTTATCATATATTAACCAATGTTTCTGTTATCATAAATTGAGATCAAGTTAAGGTTAAATAAAATCAATTAAAGTGAATACAGTTTTCGTACTGCCTATAAAGATTCTAAATTTCACTCAAACAGTCTCGCTTTTGGCGATTTCAAGCAGGCTTGCATTTAAATTATATAAATTACTTCTTTGTCTTGGTTTAATTGGATTAGATAAATAGTTCAAAAACCATTGGTTTGCTTATAATAAACCATATCTCATACATCATATGATTATGATTACTTCCTTATAATATTACATGTGATTATAAAATGTGTTTGTATATGATTGTAATCATTCAAAAATAGCACGAGTGGATATAATCATTTCAAATGAAACAAATTATCTGGGTTACAGTAACTTGCATTATATGTATAAATATGCTTATGAAATTTTAAATATTTTACATATCATATCAAAAAGACGATCAGAGGCGATTCATTAGATAAGTTTAGTTATTCTCAGCCTAACACTTTTGCTACAGTTGACATACAAATAAAAATAAAATCTGATTTACTAGATTGATGTATATTGTTTCTGGTACTTCGGATTCAATGACTCTAATATAATACACACAAGGCTTGCACTTTTACGTTAACTCTTATGAATAGATTCCATCAAACGGGTCTGAAATTTTCATATAATATTGTTGTTTTTTTGTTTTCGAAGGATCATCCCTTTTCCAGAATGATGACAACAAAAATTTATTTCACTGTTTCTATATTAGAATGTGGAAGAAGTGTTTATAATCCACAAATGGAAACTTCAGCAGAAATTTAATCACATCGTATTAAAAATATATCTACATATTGCACAGGATGATTGCATTAATACAAAAATCTGGAAACAAAGTGATCCCTCGGAAGCATTAATCACAACAAAATAACATGAAAATTGCAGGCTCGGTTTGATTGAGTCTGTACATGAGTGATAATATATAAGTGCAACAGCCCTCATGCCCCCTAGCACCGGCTTGAGCGGTACTCAATTCTCAACACTTAATAGTGTTGGCATCAATGATTCCGAAGGACCAGTAAAATATAACAACACTGAAGTAAAGTACCGGGCAACTTTTTACAGCTGCCACACAGAACTTGACACCTGCTGTTGTGAAGTATAAAAATCTGGTACTCGGAAGCATTTATCGCAACAAAATTACTTGAAAATTGCAGACTCGGTTTGATTGAGTCTGTACATGAGGGATAATGTATAAGTGCAACATCCCTCACGCCCCCTAGCACCGGCTTGAGCGGTACTCAATTCTCAACAATTAAAAGTGCTGGCATCAATGATCCCGATCCCGAAGGACCAGAAAAATATAACAACACTGAAGTTCATGAAAGTTAAATACTGTACCTGTCTCATAGCATATATAAATATTACTATTGCAACGGCATTCGTAGCATTGGCTGCATATTTAATAACCATAGTTCAATACATCTTGTTCACACGCTGAAACAAACGAATATCTTTTAATTGTTTTCAAATTGTTGTAATAAGGAAAATATATGAAGCTTAAAAACTGTTGAAAAGTGTTCCCGGAAGAAAAGAATCAGGAAAAAATCCCATCATATGGTTGACCGGACTGTTAAATCGATAAACTTTGTAATATATGTTTTACATAAACCTTTTTGTCGGTTAGCAGGGGCACAATATTTATTCATTATTATTATTTCACTGAAAATTATACCGCATTGCTATGCTTTTTGTGAATCGTTATGAACTGTAAATCGTGATTAAAATTGTATAACTTACTTCATCTATTAGTTTTATTAATCATATTGAATATATACTTTTTAACATACATGTATATAAATTATTCAATCTGACTAAAGTTCAGATTTTTTGTTTTACATAAGTGTAGCATTGTAAGAAGCTGATTTAAATCAAGCTGATATATTCTGATACTACAAAGGTTATGTAATTGCATTTTTAAGAAATTTATACAGACTTTGTCGTTTGATTCGTGATTTGACGTCAACATACAATGGCGACAGTCGGGGAGCCAGCGGGGTTAGAAAACAAAGGTGGTGCAACTTACTCCAATACAAATATATGTGTATATTCTTTAATACATTCGTCTCTTTCCACTGTCATTAACGCATCACTTTAAGGTATTCCAAATATTACTAACCTACGGTAAAGAAAACGAAGATTACAACTTCATAAGAATATAACACTTATACATGTACGTATGTACAAAATATATTCACAAACGTATTAAATGAGTTGAAGTTTAGCTCGACTGTATTAAACATAGAAGGATTGAAGTGAAATATGACTGGTGTTGTGTAAAAGACAATTAGCTGATAGTTGGACTAATAACCTAAATTCGGATTGGCTGATAGCAACTCGTATGAGTAGCAGATTTTGTGATAAAAAATATGAAAACGATACACATTTAATAAGATTTTTTACGATAGACCAATAATTTGTCCTGGAATAAAACATTTGATTATGTTGTTTAACAAGCGCAGTTTTTTACTCAAAAATGACTTGTCCATATGTTAAATAAATATTGCTTTTTAATAGACTTACTGAAGTTTGTTTGTTTCAACTAAGTAAAGTAACGATTGTTGATTAAAGTAAATAACAATGAAAATAAAAGAAGATTTAGTTATCTGGATGTGTTGGTGTATATTTAATATTTGTTCAGCGGAATTATCGAGTGTGTCATGGCCTTCAAGATCGTCATCAGAGAAAAACATCAGTAGCATGACTTTGATAAGCGATGGACAGAAGTTGATAGTAAGTGGATTAAACCATTTGTATAGTTTGAATACAACAAACTTGCAGCTTATAAATGATGTTGTAATTGGACCAGTGGATGACATTGATAACGATGTGAGACTTGTCATATACAACAAAACAGAACCTAACAATGACGCTTATATAACAACATGTGATACCTTGAATTCATATTGTGAAATCAGACGATTAAGTGACATTTCGGAGGTCGTAAATCGACTAGAGCCACCTATCAAGTCAGAGGGAGTACAAGCTTTAATGACATCGTTTGAGAAGCCAAATGGACAAAATCGATGGGACACTTTCCTATTTGTTGCCTGTCCGCATGCCGAAGTCCAGGAAAAGAGATGTTCAAGGCCAGGAATACATTGGTACATAAATAGCGGCCTCAAATGGCAAAGCCCATTTTATGGATTCAAATCTATTACTGAAACGGAAATTACAACTGAAAAATACGTTGATGCTTTCGTTGTAGATCAATATCGATTATTTTTCAGTTTGCAAAAACATAAATCTTCACAAGAGAGAATAGGCAGAATAGCCCAAGTGTGTCAGTACTTCACCAAAGGATTCCATGCAAACCAGTATACTACGCCATGGACGTATGCTGATATGCCAATAGAATGTGGACTGTTAAAGGAAATACAAGCAGTAAAGAAAATTGTGTTTGAAAAGGAGACAGTTTTTGTTGCTGTCTTTAATGATTCAGTGAAATCGTCTGTTTGTGTTTACACGATGACTGAAACAAAGCAAAAGTAAGCATTTCCATTTACATTGTTAAAAATATAACTTATTATAAAGTAACAATTTGTCCATATCACATGACTTTAACAGTCATTTTGTATTGGGGAAAACTGTCATTCCTGGCACATCAACTAAAGTAGCCTTTTCCGTATTCAAATAGTCCATCTAACTAAATAAAGTAATTTATATATCTTAAATTTTTTTTAAAAAGATACTAGTAATATGAATGTTTTACATAGACAACTCCGATATATATTACATATTATCACATAAACCGCGGCGCGGGAGTGTAATAAAGCCATTGAATAAAAACGATATTATACTAGTGTAATAACACTTTGACGTGACGTCATTTACGCTATGTAGAAACATAGCGTTAAAGCGCGCTAATGTAAGCGTCACACTATGGGTGCGTCATTGAAAAAATACTCATTTTAACAGTTCACCGTTCTAATTTTATAATTGTGATAAATAGAATATTATATTCGTGTAGATTCAATACTAAATTTATTGAACTCGCCAGAGGCTCGCATAATATGATTTTATTCAACTCGTTCAATAAATTTAGTATTAAACTACACTCATTCAATATCCTCTATATATTTATAATACAAATGAACACGTTACATAAGATTATCATAACATAACACAATGTTATAACGTTATGAAACTAATATACGGAATTATATATCACTTATATTGACCGAAGAAAAGAAATACATAATTATAATTATTCCAGTAATTTGTCTGGAATGTTTCTTTATAACACAAATGGTTTTCCTACATTATAGGGAATGTGATGTCTTTGAGAGTAATCAATTGGTGAAATATGTGCAAATATGAAAAGCGGACAAGACATTTTTGAAATCATCGCTTAACCTACCAAAAATAGAAGCTGAATATCTTGTTTGGCAACGTTCATATTCTGTTTTCTGTTATCATTTATATAATATAACGGTACACATCTTCCTAAACAATTTCTAAATATGTTAAAAAGGAATGTGAAAACAATATGGTTCGACAATAATTTTTAATTCATTTTGCCAGTTTCTTTTCTACATCTCCTAATATTCTAAAGTAACGTCAATAGATGAAAAAGAGTAAAGCGTAAAAGACATCGTCGAGTGATAAGATTTTTTATCGGATATTCTTTAATCCATCGTCTTAGTGCAAAACACTTGAAAATATACTGTTTAATATATACTACATAACTTTATTTAACCGTATCGTTAAACTAACAATTTCAGATGATATTAATTCAAAGTACTTCATACTTTATAATGAAAGTGAGAGCAAACAGCTGCCAACCAAACAAAGGAACGCCATTTACTCATCTAGGCAAAGATTTGATTAGATATTGTTTTTACATTTATAGTATCTGAAAATTATTAGGTTGTCAATAATTGGAAGTATTTCTCTGTCGTTTATATTCCTTATCTGTAATGTAAGTGAATAAACACATTTGTCTCGTGTAAAAGAATTATTTGTCTTAATTACAAAACTCAAGTATAATTCTAGATGAGATATTTAATGATAGAATAACTAAATCTTATAGTAGTTTCACTGAATTTCTGAGTGCTTCTATTTATTTATACATACCAAAGCCCATATTTATATCCATTGTAGGTTTGTGGAAAACATCAAAGACTGTTATAGTGGTAAACATGTTCCTGAAGAAGAAAATTACATCAAATTCAAAGGAAGTATCCGTCCATGTGAAAACGCTGCCGTATGTTTTTTGTGTTTTTTTTCTTGAGTGTCAATTTAATTCCTATCGAATCTTGATAAAATTACAGTACATATTGCATGCTAAGCCAAAAGTTTAAACATTAAATTATATTTTCTAAATAAACCAATTTATGTTTTTGCGTTATGTCTCATATGTACTGTTTTGTAGAAATGTAAATGAAGAAAACCTTCATCAAAATTAAAGAATAAGCCTATTAATACTTACCTTTAATTTTTTTACTTTGCTGATGTCGACGTTCTTTGCATATCTTTAATTCTCTCTTTTTATCAGGTTAAGGGGTTGTTTTTACTGTTTTCCGTTAATGTGAGGATATATTATGTTGTTCTTACGTTATTATGCGTAACGGATTATCTTCTTCTCTTTTCAGCTGTAGTGTATTTCTTTAGCTTTAGACTTTTTTCTTTTCAGAAAGAAAATTTGAATTCTCAAACGGATGAATATTTTTTATGCAATACAGACAACCTACAAAACTATCACAGTGTGATTGGCACCCATGTTTTGTCTAAACAGCCGGCTGTTACGTATGCTAAACCATTGACAGCCCTGACAGTGTCTGTAGTGGATTCAAAGATCATTGCATTCCTTGGTTCTGAATCTGGTGACATTTTAAAGGTGATATTTAGTTTATTATGAGGAGTGTCAAGCTTTTATGTGTCCAACATATTTACACATGTCCGATGTTGCTTTTACAGCTATATATCATTCAGCCGATCGGTTATTGTATAATAACGTAAATTATGAAAAAACTATATTTAAATACATACCTTGGAATAAAATGTGTGAAGTGATGAAAATAAGGCTGCATTATCTATATTTTTGTTGTTTTTTTTTTTGTTTTTTTTGGGGGGGGTTGTTAACTTAAAGATAAACTTGATTGAAGATGTGTTTTCGCAACCATCAAATATTCGTATCTTCTCAAGGTTTGTATCACTAAAAAATTGAACTGATAAAAAACTAAGCAGCACAGTCAAATCAGATAGGATAAAATCGGGTAAACTGAGGACTAAATAATGTGCATGCATCATCACACGAACTTTTCAGAATAATAATAATTAACTACTTGGCAAGTGTTTCCCCTTCATATTTTTGGCAAACTGTATACTTGTTCACGAAGCTAGATTTCAGATGTTAAATTAATCTCGATTTTTATTTATTATTATTTGAAGAAAACAAATTAAGTGAACCTTTTTCTTGATAATAAATAAATCCCGATCATTACAACGATTATCACAACGGTTTTCGCGTCCAATGTCACACGGTGCAGAGATGAATATCTACAGGAAATGTTCCCATTGAAAAAAAAAAAAATAATTCTTGCAAAAGTAATGGTATAAAACCGTATAACATATATTGTACTGACGTGTGAAGATTTTTTTTCTTGTTTGTAGAGGATATTGAATCAGTGTAAATTCAATACTGAATTTATTGAAAGAGTTGATAATATTATTTTTTTCAACGAGTTCAATAAATTCAGTATTGAAATTACACGAATATAATATTCTTTTAAAGAAAGAGTGTTTAAAGTGAAAAGAATCATGTTTTAATGACGCGCCTATAGTGTAACGCTAACATTTAGCGCGTCTTTACACTACGTTTGTATAACGCAAATGATGTCACGTCAAAATATATACACGGCCGTGTAATACCGTTTTTACAGAATCGCAAAATCGGCACGAGTATGTGATAAATAACGTTAATTAATCGTTTGCAGAAATGGGAATGAATCCACTCACGTTTTGACAACGTCTCTCCCGTGTGAACATGGACGCACTTGGGAACTCTGAAAGGAAATATTTCTCCTATCCATATATTTTCATATAACGGTTTATTTTTTTTTTTAATTATTTAAATTTTGAACTATTATTTGCCAACGTATTTTGGAAAAGTGATTTTCTGAACCCAAAGGGCGAATTTTTTGGTCGTTTGCAAAAAATCCGCGAAGAAAATGTCTGGATTTTGGATATAGTGTTGTTAAGTGTGAGATACGTGACCGATATAAAATATTTGTATATTAATTACAGACGATAAATTGTTCAACAACAAAGTATTAGTATTCTTCATATAATTCAAATGTTCATACAAAATCCTTTAGAACTTTATCAATTTTTTAAAGGCTTTTTTGGTAAAAACACCTTTAGAGATAGTTCCCATTCTAGACATATATTTTCAAATGTCTTTATTGGTGCGAATTGGTTTTGTTAATGTTGTTTGTTTGTTTTGTTTTTTCTGTTATGTTTCTTTGCCTATAGAAATGATGTGCATCATTCCATTTATATAGGCTGTTGTTCACCCCAGTGATTCCACTTATTATGTACAGCAATTGAGGATACCCAACATTGAAAGTAGGGTCAAAAAGGACATGTACACATCATCCGATGAAAAACACATCTTTGCTCTGACTCAAACAAAGGTAAAACGTATCATTTGAAAATAGTATTATTTAAAGCATTTTCATACAATTCTTTTTTCAAAAGTATGGCCTCTTTCATGGTCACTATAAAATGAGCGGGAAAATATTGTTCACACTTTCCTTATCATTATTAAAAATATACTGCTCTGTAAACCCTTCAACATGTCCGTTATTATATCAAGGAAAACCCCAGAAAATATATGTGAATCTAATTAGGACATTAAGACTTCTCACTAATTGAAATGCACTGGGTGTATTCTAACATTAAGTACAACATTTCCTGAAGCTTTCAGGTTCAATTGTTCTAAGATCATCCTTTAAGTGCATTTAGGTCAAAGAAATAACCAAATCAAGCTCGTTTATGAGAGGTTGATGATTTTTATTGGTTAATGCATACATCTATACTTCCTCCTGTCCCAAAACTCGACCTTAAGAAGAATATACGCATACGATCTACTTAAGATTATCATAAAGTACAATTTTTTTTTAACATCATTCATAAGTTGTAACTTTACTTTTATATATGAATAGTTTTCTAAGTTAGTAACTATATTGAATCAGATGTGTAGTATGTTATTGTGTCAGTGAGTGTCCTGAAATGTGATACACGTGATATGTACGTGCAAGTTTTTTGAGTAAACGTCTCCTTCTGCAATTTGATTGATCGGTCTTTATACATATGCCATACATAAATGCCTTGAACCTGTAAGAAAATTCATTTATTTGGGTTAACATGACCCTTCCGTGCTATAAAAAATCATTGCATTACTGAAGTTCAAATGACTGCAACCGTACAAAAAAGAAAACATTTAAAGAAAATCAAACATGAAAAAATATCAATTTATACATAGTCTATTCCAATTTAGGTAGTTGTACATAATTAAAAAATACGCACTTAGTAAAGATGTAATCTAATATTATATAAAGGTAACTTGTATTTAGTTGTGTTTATTCTTTAAAGTTGTTTTGCTTGCTATTTTTCTGCAGAATGAACATGATTTTCTAACACAATCAATAACATCAACTTTTCAGGTTTTCAAGATTCCTGTGCAGTCATGTTCTGAGTTTGTGACCTGTGATAGGTGTTTATTTAGTAAAGATCCATATTGTGGCTGGTGTTTCTTAGAAGAAAGGTAAAACTGGTTTATTCAAATGTTTAATGTCACTATGTCTTATTGATCTATGATATATGAAACAAAGCACCGATTGATGTGTTAACGCAGTCTGTTTTTAGGACAACGAATATTATATAAATGACCAATTTTTGTAAATGTTCTAAGTGAAAAATAGACATAACTCCTAATTCTTTCAGTATCATGCTTCTTATCTTTCAACTTAATCATGAAAATTCAGTACAACAAGTATCATGTTGATAGCGTTGATAGCTTTGAAGTCAGTTGCTTAATAAAAGTCTTAGTAAAAAGTTCTTAACTTGTCAGAATACTGCTCCTTCTCTTACAACTTTGTCTAATTATGAGAATCACACAGTTCTATCTTGATACCTCTCATAGTTTTGAAATCACTCAAGTTAAATATTATTTTAGACAGAAATTATCTGATTTTAAAAGGGTATTATTCCAAAAATATAGCTTTCAGAATCAACCCCTTGCCTTACAACGGTGACTTGGCATGATAAGCAAGTATTCTGATGTAATTTAATAGTTAAATTTTGTTGCGACGTCATTTTTTGTTGTATCTGTACATTAATGTGTTAAGTGTACGGACAAATGAAGAAACTGTCCAATGTTTGCTAAATAAGTATCCAGTATTTAGATATTAGATATTTTTCAATCCAACATTTATCAAAATAATTGAGAGTTAATTTTTCTGTTCTTACAGATGTGTGAATGTAATGTCTTAGTGCTGGACATTACAAAAATATGCACAGAGACATTAAATTTACACACTGGCTACAAAAGTGTGAACTTCGGCTTTAGCATATATAAACATTTTTTGATATTTTTTATACATGTACAATAGAAATATTTCTAAATCTTTTTTAATATTAAGACTTCAATTTCTTAAATTCTTAGCAAAACAAAATTATTCCTTATTTGCCAGCTGGAACGATTGTTTCATTACCGTAAGATTGAAAAAGAGAAAACGTCAACTTTAGTTCGTGTGTGATTTTACTCAGAATCATACTGACTAAACTATTGTGCTATTAAGCAAGCAAGCCTTTACTATCAACTTCAGTCTTTTACAAAAACGATATTATTTTCTATAATGCCAAATGCATATGCATGCTTTTATCATAATTTATGAAACGTACACATAGGTAAGTGTTGATGTGTTTATCAATTAAATAAGGAAGGTAAGTATTATTTAAACAATATCAAACATTGATAAATCAAATAAGGAAGCTAACTATGATGTAAATTATACCAAACATATTTTCTCTAATTTTTTTCCTATAGAAGTGATCGTGTTTCACAATTGAGTAAATAGTGTACATGTTATTCGGAAATTAATTCTTTGTTTCTGGCACAATTTTATTTTTAAGGACATACGACATGATAAAACAATGCAAAGGATTGTGTGCAACAATTAAAGATTTGTGGTAATTTGCTGTCATTTCATTTACAGTATACACCTTGTTAAACTGTGACCAGTGAAATTAAGTTTTGGTTTCATTGCTTATTTCTTCCTTATTATTATTATTATTATTATTATTATTATTATTATTATTATTATTATTATTAAAACAAAGGAAAACAGCAGTTTTGTTCAGTTAAATAATAAAAATTGTAAAGATGAAATTATAATATTGATGAAAAGAACAATAAAATAATTGTCACTGTTAACGGAAGCATGCATACCTTTACTTATATCATATCAATAAGTATTAAAATCCAATACTGACGTTTTAATTTTCTTGGACCTCTGAACAAATTAAATCAGTGAAGCATAGTAATCATGTTTTGAACCTATATATATTTCCTTTCCCCCTTAAACACCAAGCGTTTTCAAGTGACCAATAAATTAACAATGGAGGCAAGAAATTTTCAATTTTTGCTTGGAATTCATGAATAGATTAAACTGTTCACTATTGAGACAATAGAGAACATGTTTTAAGCAAGAGAAACTCTTGGGACTGTCCATTGATGTGAGAGAATAGTGCCTCGATCTGTACATTCTCTTATATATTGGACAGTTATTCGACTTTCTCCTTTACGTCGATATCTTTCATGTTTTCAAATCATTCTACTTAATACGCAATTTTATCAAGTCTACGTTAAAAGGGGACATCACTTCATCAACATTGTTTGAAGAGGAATGCCCATTGTCTTACAACTGCACTGTGTCATCATTTTGCTTCCTAGTACATCTATTCTGATTTGACTTGAATAATGTGTTACAAGGCAGTAATTCTAGTCAAACTGTGTTAAAATAATTGCAATCTAACTGCAATCACATATAATTGAAAGTATTTATTTGCACTGGATAAAGGCTTTCATGTCTTGCCAGCAAGTTAGGGGACAACAATGGAAATAAGAGCTTTTTTGTGTTATCCAGGTGTCGGTGTGCATGTCATTATTTATTTTAATGTTAATGTATGCTATGTATTTGTACCAAACATGCTGTTTTTTAAAAGGCCCATGTATATTATTTATTCCATACCGAAATAAATCTAAATCAAGTTAGTATTCAATGTTTTGTGTTAATACCGTATAAATTGTTCGAGAAATGGGCTACTATTACATACTGTAAAACACTTATTATTCGCAAGATTTATTTTCGCTAATATTCGCGAGTTTTCTAAGACGCGAATTCATATTTCTCGCGAATATTTCACTTTGTCTATACACTTGTCCGAAAATAAACACTATCCGAAAATGCGTACACATGGATATATATCTGCGGGAAAGTATCGAAACCAGTTCTAGTTACATCATGTAGCTATTCAAGTGTTGCAGCATATACATATCGTACAGATTACTAGTATGAACTATTTACCTGCTAACAATTTGGTATAATTGAGGAATTGGAAAAAAATTTTCTTCGCTGCATATTACCTGTGTCAAGGAAGGTAACTGTGACTTGCACTAAAAATTAAGTACAAACACATTAATGCGTCTCACAAAAAAATGTTAATGGTATTTTTACAGATTGTTCTAATTGGTACAAATACTTTAGCACCTGCGAAAGTTGTTTGTAACATTTCTATTTATTGTATCCTATTGTATTGTACTACAGTTTTAAGCCGGAGGTTAAACATAATCGTTTACTACAGGTTAGGCAATTACAGTAAACGTTTTAAAATTGATTTTTCGTCTGCTTGCCTTGAAATGGCTAATCAGTGAAACTTTAACACAGTGAACACATATCAAATAATTATCAAACTTTATTGTCATATTTTTAGACAGACGGTTTCACTTAACAAGAAGATTAGCAAGCTATCAGAAAAATCGATACAGATATAGATGCATTCGTCGCACAATAAACGACGCAAAGTTTAAATGAACGGACAGGACAGAAAATATTCGAATGACATCGGGTTTCCGATTTCACATTTTTCGGGAAGACGCGAATTCATGTTGACGCGAAATAATTATTTTGGACATTTTGCCTCAAAATCGCGAAATAAGGTTCTCGCGAAAAATAAGTGTTTTACAGTATTGCGACAGCCATCGCAGTCAAAATACCATTTTCTTTGAACGACGGACTAAATATGATTGTGTAATTTGGAGTGTTGTACATTAATTTTATTCTCTGACTCTACAAGTTACACAATAAAAGACTGATTTCTATATTTAGTATAAAATAATGAAAATGTCGTTCTTATATCCATTTTATTATATATCTCTAGATGTAGTACAAGAGATGCTTGCCCCGAAAATAAGGAGTGGATATCAGCTTCAAGTGGTGATATATGTCCACAGGTTGAAGATATTACTCCAACAGTAATGTCTGTTTGGGAAATAGAAACGGTATAATATGATGGCTTATCAGTTAATATATAATGCGTTCTTGTTTCATTATAGTTGTATTTCAGTTTATCATTTACTAAAGTGCCCTATGTGCTACACATTTTTTAGGAATTATAAGATACTGCAGTCATTCTGAAATTGTATTAGACAAATTCAAAATAAAATACCTGGCTTTTTTCAGTGTTTGTTATTCTGGCTTAAGAATGTAGAATAAATACTGATTTTGCCGGTGCAAGAGGACATGAATGATGTTAAACAAACCATTGTCTGTAGCATAAAAATTCATATATAACCGAGATAAAATTTGTTCGCTTACTTAACTTTAATGTCACTGATGAATCTCTACCTTTTAATGAAAGTTTGTGTTTATTTTAAAACATTTTTTTATTTGATGCGGACACAATCATTGCGTTCAAAATTATTTTTTAAACAATTTTAGTTGATTAGGTTTAAACAGACAAAGGACATACTTATATGTGGCCGAGTTGTTTATATAATGTAAATTAACAGATATCAATTTACATAAATGTTGCAATTAAAATGATAACTATAAATAGAAAACTTCATTTTTTATTGGTAGCTCAATATAACAGTTTCAAACGTATTGCAAGGCGTGAAAGTGTCGTGTTTGTTCCATAGTGACGAAATCGAGGCTGACTTTAATCATATTGATGAAGCAGAGGTATCCAGCGATGGTCTATCAGTAAAATGTAGGCCAACAAATATATCTGCTATACAAGACAAAATTAAAGGTAAATAATTATATCATATATATATTAAGAAAAACAATTTTAATGCTCAATCTTCTTGAATCGAGTACCACTAGCAAAAGGTCTCGAGCCTGCTCATCTGTGAAGTCTGACATGGCTGTATACTGTTGATAGCTCATTTTTGTTGTTTTATATGTATGTATGTATGTATGTATGTATGTATGTATGTATGTATGTATGTATGTATGTATGTATGTATGTATGTATGTATGTATGTAATTTTTTTTTTTAGAATTTCTCATAACCAGCAATCAAAATACTATAATAATAAATATCAATTAACATCAATTACTGTAAACAAATATTTATAGGATTTTAAATCAGGATTGTATGCTGCATATCTTTATTTTACTTTGGAATGGTTTTGTTTTAGGTTCTCTTGAAATGAAGGTTGCAATATTGGCAAATAGTTCAACTACAACTATAAATGGAACATTTACGATATATAGATGTGATACCTTTGAAAGGTATAACAAATCAATTTTAAGATTTTTTAAATAGCGATTACAATATTATACATTGTGCCACGTGGTATCGGATTTTAACTCCGTCGAACTCCCCAATGTCAACGGCCCAATTTACATACAGCGCATTAATTTAAGTACTCATATATAAACTGTACCAATTGTAAAAGATTAAAACATCATTTCTTTTGATTTCCATATTTCAATGATGTTACAACTTGCATTTATTTTGATTTAACGACTAATGCTTGATCAACAGCTGTTTGTACCCTGTACAAAATGTTCTTTTATGCTTGATCAAATAGCGATCATTTTGATGCTACTGGGAGAGGGGGTATGATAAACAGTGCACTCATTTTTCGTTGTTTTTTTTTTTTGTTTTTGTTTTTTTTAAACCAGATTTATTCAAACTGAGTCTGCAAACTTTATTTTATTTTGTTAGCGTTGCACAATAAGGATATTCCTTTTTGTTTATTTTCTATGCGTAAAATATCTATGAAAATGTTTACAAATGTTTACAGATGTTTTTGTATAATAAATTAATCAACTGTTAGTTAAATATAGCATTTATTCTCAATTTTAAACAAAAGTTTGCTTTTTTTGCTATAAACTTCATTTTTTTATCTTTCTATTAACTTATATTTTTCAGATGTTTTGATTGCTCAGCAAAGAATTGGTCATGCAAATGGTGCCCCTTCTTGAACCAATGTACAAATCACACCTGTGTTAATGTACAAACATTATTATTTTAATTATATAAAAACCATAAGTTGATATCTTCTGCAAAAATCACGTGCACTCCACAATTATTGATTTTACACACTAATCATGAACCAATCAAATTTAACTACTTAAAATTGATAACAATAATTATCATTTTCACTTAACAAACCACATGTAATATTATGTACGATTAGTTAATTTAAAGGTCAGTATAATAGCTAATAGGAGAAGATAACGGTAGTTCTATAAGATTTCACTTAAGGTCTTGAAAGAATTTATGATCTTCCTAAAGAAAGTTTATCAGTTTTGCTGTATTACAATTAATATTTTTCCTGCAGGAAGATTGGGATCAGAAAGCTTTCTTTTTCTATATGTTAAAAAAACATTATATAGAGGATATTTGTTTGTTTCAGTGTAAGATCGAAAAATATTTCACCGAGTGAACACCAGATGCAATATTTTCCACGAGTGGCGTAGCCACGAGTGAAAATATAATAGCTGGGGTTCACAAGTGAAATATTATTTGATCTCACATGTAAAACAAACAAATTTTTCTGTTTATTTCATGATTTTTTAACGATTTTTACACCATTTTACTAATTTTTGCCGCGTAACGTCATGCTCTTATCTTCATGACGTCATCAAATAATGACGTCACAATGTTGAAGCAAAATATAATTCCATGATTATTTTTAGATTTTAGATGTTTTTCAGCACAACGTTCGTAAATATTTACGAACTACAGTTATCACGTACATTTTTTATTATGATTGACTACATTTCCGCTGAAAAAACATTCATTAATGATAAATATTTTATTTTTACGCCAAATATAGTTCGGCTACTGTGAAATTATATTTGGTAATCATTACTGTGAAATTATCAGAATATAATTAACCGTTATAATTCAGTAATCTACTGCAAAACATGTAATAATGTACATTTCATTCCACTCTGTTTCAATGATATCTAAAGTTTCAATTGTTCAATGAAATAATTATGTGTTTTTTAAAACCTACAATCGTATGGCATCCAAATTATATTCAAATGCACAATTTGTTTTAAAGTACTTAACATTTATTACTAATGTTCTACTCTACTATATTAAAAAGACTACTAGTAATTATAGTGTTTTAAAGTGTCGATTAGCCAGCCTTTCGTTAAAATGATGATAATTATCAGGTTTAGTTCTACGAAACACGTGATGTCAGAAAATTTTACTTGATATGCCTTATGATTTTTAATTGACATTTTATGTCTACAAGTATTCACAGAATTTTAGTATTTATATATTATAGAAAAGCATCAACAATACAGAAGATTGTCCACGCACCATTAATTACACTGTTGTTACAAATGGTCAGGATATCGTACATGATTCGGATGGTTCCGTGTATTTCTCTAGAGGCAGAAACTATACTATAAACATAACGGGAACCAATTTGTTAGAAGTATATTTTATCATTCACATGATATTTATGATAGTTTCAATATATAATATTTAATCACATTTACCCATTATATATTGCGGTTAGTAATTATATAAATATTGTTAGGTTAGTAATAGCACGCCCATTTGCCAAGGATCTCTGCTGAGGCTTTGCCGTAGATGTGTTTTTGATGAGAAATTTTCACCTACATCAAACAATTACAGTAACGGTGATGAGTTGTATGACACAGTTATGGAACATTCTCATCATAAACCTACATCTTAAAATTAACCTTACTGCAAATCCTCTATTGCTATGGTCACATTTCTAGACATGTAACCTTTTCTTTACAAATGATGTGTATTAATCTTGAACTGAAGGTAGAAGTATTTTAGGACAATAAATTTCAGAACAACACATTTTAAGACAATATATTATCAGTATAAACTTTCGTGATTTCAGCCTAAAACAACACTAGACTCATTGAAGTATAGTTGCAAGATAGTTGTATCAGGATCACAAGAACTTTTGTTTAACAGGACAACCTTTAATCATGGAAGTCTGGTGTGTTATTTAGAAAAGGTATGACTCGGTCCTTTTTTTCATTTTTTTTTTCGTCAACGTATTAAATACTAATATCGGTATAAGTAACGCTAACATTAATTTTTTTCAATATTAATAAATTGACACACAAAATTAAAAGCACCTAGCTGCTGAGTGCAAGTAAAGGTATCACTTATCAAACTGTCCGAAAAGAAAAGTCATAATTATAATAGTATTAATACCATTTAACTTTTTCGATTATTACTTTTTAGAATAATCAGTCAGTACCTTAATTTAACTTATTATAAACAAATAACCTATTATCCTTTTCAATAACACCCAGGAGGGATTGTCTAAAATAACATCACAAGAAGGTAAACTCGATGCTACAGTCCAACTTATGTGGGGAGGATCTCCAGTCTACGGGAGTGCAGAGCAAGGTAATTGGTTATGATATATTAGAAAATAAGAAAAAATAACATCTATTTTCCGGCTTTAGAGGCCTAGAATAACTAAAATTCGGGAATTTTACCATTCTGCACATTCAGAATTCGTAAAGTTATATTAAAATCATCTTTTTATAATCAGATCGTATAATTCTGAGGTATATAATGTAAAAAGGAGTTCCGCTGTTTGGATTATTATAGGTACACTTGGTTTGACGATGACTCCAAATAAATCTTATATGAGAATTATAGCATTATAAGTAAAGCAAATATCCTACATACACTATGTTTTAACTGTTTTCAGTTATCATTTACACATGCGCAGGACTTACGAAACCCGCTAATAACTGTGGACATTGCAAAAGTTTTGAATTGTATCAACCTCATTTTAACTGTCAATGGTGCGGCAAAGCGTGTGTTGACAGCAGTGAAATATGTAACAACACAGCTTGTGACGATCCTATCATTACTAAGGTAAAAAGGAAGCTTTGTGAAATTAAAACCGATATTTCCTAACAAACATTGGTGTTAATAAATTGGTTTGTCATACAGTTTCTACACTAAACTACATAGAAGGAATGCAATATTTCTTAAAGTTCAGCACAAATATATCATTGTAACACACGTGTTATACTTGAATTACTGCAAATAGTTTAAAATATGATCACAATAACTTTTCTGTGCATAGGTATATCCACTCAGCGCTCATATGAATGCAACGACATTGATAGAAATTACAGGTGTGAATCTTGGGTCTTCCTTCAATGAAACAATCGATTCCGTGACAGTTGCCGGAACAGTCTGTGATTCAATTGAAAGTGGCTACATTCCTGGCATAAAGTGAGATGCAGTTTTTCTAGACTGACCTTTAATTGACCTTTTATGTTGATAATCACTTGTATATGTCCTATAACAATTATCACTGTCTCTGGCCACCTTGGAAAAAAATGCAATCTCAATAGCATTATAATATGTTTGTCCCTAAGATTTGTGTTGAGTTATTAAAACTCATTAAAAAGTGATTAAAAGAGATTTTGAATCTTAAATATGTAAATTCTGTTTGTTGTATTTTATTTTGACCAGATAGACAAGATAAGCATTTGTGAATTGATTCAATATATTTTTATTCATATATGATAGTGTTAAAACAAAAGTTTACTTTTCTCATTCTACTTATAGTATCATTAACAACAATTCATTCTTATATAATAAAATGTTAACATTTCATCGGTTGATATTCAATAAATTTAGGATCGAGTGTGAACTTCCACCGAGTAACAAAGTGATGAAGGGAATTGTGGTTGTGACAAGAAAAGATAACGCTAGTGGGGAGTACTCGTCACCGTTCCAATTTCGGGTATGATATGCACTTCTTTTATTGTATAATTCGACTTCATTTAATATTTCTTGTCAACATACTAGATTGATTATGTTGTGATTGATGCTTCCGAGGGATCATTCTTTTTTCCATACTTTTTGTGATTGTATTATCTTAAGTCGTAAAACAAAGACTAAGGGAGAAGTTTATTTCAAAGTAATTGCCCACAGATTCTTAAGTACGCCATATTGCATCACTTTAATAGATGCAAAGAAGTGGTGGTACATATACTTCAAACAATGGGAAGGGCTGTCATAATTATTGTCATTATGCTATTGTGTTTTAAAATGCAAACAAAAATTTCAAACTTACAATACTCTTCTCCGTAAGTGACTAAATGATTTTTTTAAAGGTGTTATTTTATATCATAGCATAATTAGGTCAAACGCAAGCATTCTAAAACCACTAATGCTTGCATGTCTATGAGGTTGTCAAAGTAAAGTGAACATGTTAAGAAATCTAGTTATAGTATTCCGTTGTATAACCAGTACATATATCATTGTGTCGTGTAATGGACGAAATTCACAAAATATCATTTATTAAAACAATAGCCATAATGTTAACAAGGATGACCGCTATTTCACAATATTTATTGCATACGTTTGTATATATTTATCATCTAAGAAAAATGTAAATTGGTTATTATAGTGACATTTATGAATATATGTATACCAAATAAATATACATGACAGGAGTGTATCCAACAACACTCGATCAATTTGGACTATAAGTCATCTTATAAATGTACATATATATAAACTGTGAACAATACATAGCAGTGCATACGGAACTCTTAAATGAGATCAAAGTTTCTGTTTATGTGTATACTACGTACGGTTCGGCGAGAAGTAATCAATTTGTTGTTTTTATGAGAATGACTTCCACGTTTTAAGCACTTAAGTATAAGCACTTAGAATAAAAAACAGGACAAAATGGACAAACATAAAGTGCATAAAATCTAACATTTAAATACATTAAACTGTTTTACTCATTGATATGCTTATACATACACTTATTTAATGCTTATGTAAATAGGTTCCTACAGTCAGTGATATAGAGCCCTCCCTCGGACCAATGTCAGGTGGCACACTTGTTACGCTATATGGACAGCTACTGGACACCGGTAGAGAAATGAGTGTTTCTATTGGCGGCAAAGCCTGCAAAGTCTATAATTTTAAAGATGGAACTATTAACAAGTATGTATATTCAGCATTATATGATTTAGCATCTTTTTTATTTTTAAGGACGGGGCAAAAATATAGACCTACAATTTATTAACCACATGTATGTTCTTAATGTTCTGTATGTGTTTAAATATATTAGTTAGAAATATGGAATATCATTACCAAAAAATAAGAAAGATGTCTATTAAACATTCAAATAAAACGGGAGATGGTCATGAAGATTTATTTGAAATTTTAAAATTTGTTGTTTAACGTTTTAAAACTGCGTAATCTTCCCCCATTTTTACATGTTGTGTACTTGATTGTTTCGTGTACCTTCATATATTTGTTAATAGCATAAAATATCATCATATATAAATTTGTATATATATATATATATATATATATATATATATATATATATATATATATTATATATATATATATATATATATATATATATATATATATATATATATATTCGCCATATAATCCCCTTATATTTTGTATTAATAACTATTTCCGTGGCCGTCAAATCCCGACAAGGATTTCGGATTCTTTCATGTGTGAAAGAGCACCTGAGCTCTTATGAATGGTAATCATGCTTCGATTATATGCATTTATACATTCTTTCATGCTTACATAAGATACGCATTTCTTGTTTGGCAGGCAAATAACTGACAGATGAGAAATGAAAAAGACTTAACCAATATTTGGGGAGTTTGTCTCGCCTTTCTCCCTGTCTGTAAGGCGTAAAGTAGATATACTGTTTGTTTTACTGCTATTACCATTGTGCTTCCTCTGGTCATAGTACATATTTAATTTCCATTAAACATCTTATTTCTCTTATAGCTCTATGTTTGGCGAAATTATTGGCGTAAATCCCCCATAAAGCATATAGCTATAGATCTGTATCCTCAATTTTTCTAGGCAACACAGTTTCTGTTAAAGCACAAATCATTGAGAAGCACAAATTACTTATCAGCACTCATTATTTATCTTTTTATCAGCACAAATTCTTTACCCATTGCGTTCAAATCAGCACAAATGTTATATAAAATATGTTCTGCAAAATTAAGTAGCAATAACTTGTTTAAAATAGCACAGAAAACAGCAAATCTTTCAAGCAGCAAATCCATACGTCCTACTCATACATATTCAGTAGCACTTAGTTGGCGCCGCAAAATTGTGATATGGCACCTTTTATAGCAAAACCGCAGCAAAAGCGGATATTTAAAAAGGAACATGGTGACACCTCTCTCATAAATTAAGCTTGGCCAGTTCTATTCTAAATAATAGCCCTCCTTATATGAACATTTGTAATGGATACGGGAGAAAACATCATGACTTTGTAATGCTTGACTATTTATAAATTCAATATACAGGAACTCGTCAAAAAAGCGTGTGTGCATAACAACAGCTGGAAACATTAATGATCAAGATAAGGTTCTCGACGTGAATGTACAATTTGACGGTGCGAATGCTGTGTTAAGCGAAGACGTGACATATACATATATTGCAGATCCAAGTATAACATCTATATCGCCGAAAAAAAGTTTTAACAGGTAATGTTTCGACTTTATGAATTATTGATTTTCTAACGAAAATAACGTTAATGGCATTAATGTTAAAGTGGGGCATACAATAAAGCCAGTCTGTCCTGCTGTTCACTTTACTCTATTTGTCATCCAATGTTACATTTTATAAATAAAATTGCCTTTATTAAATAATCTGAGTACACACCATGCCAATTGCAGAAACAAATTAAAATTAATCAATGTCCCCAAAAAGAAGCTCCGATATCCAGATGACCGAAAATAGCCATAATTAACCTTTTACTCCATGAGCATATTGTGAAAAAAGGCCGTTTTCATTGAAAAGCCTCCTGTTACAAGTTCAAACTTCTATGAAACTATGAAAAATGCTCTAATACTGATGAAACTTGGCACAAATGTTGACTAGACCATAGCCTCTGTAACAGCATGTAAATTTTCTGTTACCATGGCAACGGGGGGACGTCTTAAAATTGCCAAAAATCACTATTTTTGCATTGTTTTTTCCATCAAAACTGATTTCAAAGGGCTGAAACTTCTTAATGAATTGAGATAGAGTAAAAGGTTTTTCATTATCGGTTACTAGTTACCCTTAGATCGACCTGAGGCCATTTTTAGCCTGTCATATGTCCAAAATTTTCTTGGCGATGAGGGGAACTGCCGCCCCCCTTCAACCCCCCCAAAAAAACAGAAGGGGGGTATATCCACCTTCTGGGAACCCCCTAATGTACCATTTTGATGGGGGCGGCGCCGAAAAAGTGGTCACATTTTTAACAACATTTCTTAAACAAAAAAGAGTGTTTGTTGCCTAAATATGGCATTTTTTCACTGTTTGAGGCCTCAAGAAGGGAGGGGGCGAAAAGCTATATGAAGGAAAAGGTTAAACGACAAACGTGTTCTTTGAATAAATTGTAATTTTCGTATTTAAAATATCTGTTTCAAAGTAAAATGTATATACATATACCTGATTTGTACCTTATTTATTGTGATTGTTTGGAGCAATTAGTTTAAACAATTTTTTTTTCACAATTATACATAAATACATTAATGTAAATATACAAAAGTTTATCCTGTCCTCCACTGAAATTAGAGAAATTCAACACAAGTCTTGCATTTGAATGATGTTTGATGTATGGTGTAACATATATTGCCAAACTACTTATTCTTCTTAACTTTTCCATGATTTCGTCACCATAAGAAATACACAAGAAAGAAAGATTTCAATTAAATTTGAGTCTGTTTATTACTCAAAACAGTATTATCTGGACGCATGACTGCATTATTGTCTTGAATTTATTATCTGTATGTATTTTTTTGAAATTAAACTAAGCAAAATATTTAAGATGAAACATATCAAAACAATATTTACAAATGTCATTTCTTCTTATTAAGTGGTGGACGAACTCTTACAATTGAAGGTAACAACTTACACGCAATACAACTACCAAAGATCTATGCAATGATTGGTGAAACAAGACTTACGTCCGAGGTAATTTACCAAATTAACTCTGATATTTTTATGTTTATCTTTGTGTATAGGATATCGACCGAGTACGAGGTCTTTCTGATTAAGAAAGACCTGGTCACGAATTTCATGTGACGCGCTCTCGGTGTTTCATGAAATTCGTGACCAGGTCTTTCCTAATCAGAAAGATCGATGTACGAGGCCGATATCCAACTTACACACCGTTAAAACTATATTGGCTTGAAATTTGATGAAACGCACAATATTATTTTTAACACAACGCATAAACAGGTAAGCTTTTATTATCGTTCTGCTTAAATACAATATATACTTTGCTTTGCCCTTTAAAATCATAAAAATAAAAAAAAGCTAAATGTGCAATTTGTCAATAATAAAGTGAATAGATCTGTTATAAAAAGTATGTTAAAGAATGAATAATAATGTTGATAGTATTTCGTATCCGACAATTCAGATTCTAGGACATTTGCCCCCGGACATTTGCCTCCCCCCCCCCGGAAATATGCCCCCTTTTTGCCGTTGTGACTTGTGACTTGTCATCTCGTGTATAGATTTCATGTTTGCCAATGGAAAAAATTTAGTTTTATTTATTTATGGATGCTATTTTGACTTTCACAAATTTGCGCGAGAGTTTTTGTGTACTTAAGCACAATGAAACTTCGACAATAGGCGATGAATTATGGTAGCAAACAATTCAACAATAAAATATTTTTAAAACAGGGACGGGGGACAGATGTCCGCCCCTTCCAAAGATATGAGGGGCAGTTGACCGCCATTGCAGAAAGGGGGCAAACTAGCGAGGGGGCAACTGTTCGAAGGGCAATGTGTGGATACCCAGCAGACCACGAAAGACTTACATATGTATATTGTTGGCAAGTGTAAGATACATGAACCGAAACTATATTTTATAGATTATAAAGTGTTCTAGAATAAAACATGATCGTTCATCATAAAATATTTTAAGCTAAATCACTTATAACTTTATTAACATTTTAAAATGGTCATGAGTATGATGTGATTTCTGCTATATAGTTTCATGCATATGAACTTGAAGCGTTCATTTTATTATATTATGAACTTAATGACAGAATTACTTACTTAAAATATCACGCGATTAAATAAATGTTAAATGTGTCCTAACTCTGATATGCTATCCATTATTTTTATTGAAAAGATTTAATATAGGGGTGCTGGAATAATTGCTAAGTTAAAAGGGTTTTAATTTTTGATTGCATTTCATGTTTTCTTTGTCTGCGCATAGGCAGTTCTATTTTTTTTCACGTGTATTTCATGACCGGGTCTGTCTGTATAGAACTGACCTGTGCACGTGCAAAAGATAGACCTCATAACGGACTTTCTTTTGTTTAAACAGGTCTATCCGAAAAATATGGACCTGTCACAAACAATAGAGGAGGTGTGTAAGTATAGGATATCGACCGAGTACGAGGTCTTTCTGTTTAGGAAAGACCTGGTCACGAATTTCATGTGACACCGAGAGCGCGTAGCGCACGAGGTATTTCATGAAATTCGTGACCAGGTCTTTCCTAAACAGAAAGATCGATGTACGAGGCCGATATCCAACTTACACACCGTTAAAACTATATTGGCTTGAGCAATGCCTGATCCGAAGCATTTGATGAAATGCACAAATATTATTTTTAACACAACGCATATACAGGTAAGCTTTTATCAACGTTCTGCTTAAATACAATATAGTTTTTGCATTTAAATAAATTTTGCTTTCCCCTTTAAAATCAAAAAAGCTAAATGTGCAATTTGTAAATAATAAAGTGAACAGACTGTAATAGAAGGTATGTTAAAGAATGAATGTTGATAGTATTTCGTATCAGACAATGCAGATTCTAGGACATTTGCCCCGGACAGTTGCCCTCCGGATGTTTGCCCCCTCTTTTCCGTTGTGATTTGTCACTTGTCATCTCGTGTATAGATTTTTTAGTTTTATTATGCCCCCGCCATGTAATGGCCGGGGCATATAGTGTTACCCTGTTCCGTCATTCCGTCCTTCCGTCCTTCCGTCCTTCCATCCTTCCGTCCTTCCGTCCTTCTGTCCTTCCGTCATTCTGTCATTCCGTCATCATCAGTTTCCGTTCATTATCTTAAGAACGGTTGCACACATTCAACTCAAATTTGACATATGGATATGTCATGACAAAATACAGGTCAAGTTTGAATTTGGTCATGGTTCGATGATTTTTGACAGAGTTATGCCCCTTTTACTTTGAAAATAATATGAAATTTCAGTTTCCGTTCATTACCTCCCCAACGGTACAACACATTCAACTCAAACTTGACATATGGATATTTCATGAGAAAATACAGGTCAAGTTCGAATTTGGTCATGGTTCGATGATTTTTGGCAGAGTTATGCCCCTTTTACTTTGAAAATAATATGAAATTTTCAGTTTCCGTTCATTATCTCCCCAACGGTACAACACATTCAACTCAAACTTGACATATGGATATGTCATGAGAAAATACAGGTCAAGTTTGAATTTGGTCATGGTTTGATGATTTTTGATAGAGTTATGCCCCTTTTACTTTGAAAATAATATGAAATTTTCAGTTTCCGTTCATTATCTCCCCAACAGTACAACACATTCAACTCAAACTTGACATATGGATATGGATATGTCATTAAAAAATACAGGTCAAGTTCGAATTTGGTTTGATGATTTTTGATAGAGTTATGCCCCTTTTACTTTGAAAATAATATGAAATTTTCAATTTCCGTTCATTATCTCCCCAACGGTACAACACATTCAACTCAAACTTGACATATGGATGCGTCAAAAGAATGCGCAGGTCAAGTTCAAATTTGGTCATGGTTCAATGATTTTTGGCAGAGTTATGCCCCTTTCACTTTGAAAGTAATATGAAATTTTCAGTTTCCGTTTATTATCTCCCCAACAGTACAACACATTCAACTCAAATTTGACATATGGATATGTTTTTGGAATGCCCAGGCCAAGTTCGAATTTGGTCATGGTTCAATGATTTTTGGCAGAGTTATGCCCCTTTCACTTTGAAAATAATATGAAATTTACAGTTTCTGTTCATTATCTACCCAACAGTGTTACATATTCAATATAAATTTGACATTTGGATATGTCAAAGGAATGGGCAGGTCAAGTTGGAATTTGGTCATGGTTTGATGATTTTTTTGCAGAGTTATGTCCCTTTCACTTTGAAAATAATATAGATACATCTTAGGAATAAGCAGTTTAAGTTTGAATTTGGTTGTGGTTCAATGATTTTAGACAAACATATCTTTCCTGAATGTTGGAAAAAATTTGAACTTTCAGTTTCAGCACTCATACTTTTAGCCATTATTTTGGCTACAAATATGCAATATGCTATTTTCAAAAGGTTAAGACTGAATAATTTCAGTGTCTTGAACATTGTATGAAAGTGGTTTGTGTTAACATTGAAAAGTTTTAAGGGCTTTGAACTTAAAATGAAAAAAATAATTAATGCACCATCTGAAATTTTGGCTGCATGCGGGGGCATCCGTGGCATGATGACACATTTCTAGTTTGTTTTTGGATGCTATTTTGACTTTCACAAATTTGCGCGAGTTTTTGTGTATTTAAGCACCATGAAATTTCCACAATAGGCGATGAATTATGGTAGCAAACAATTCAACAATAAAATATTTTTTTAAACAGGGAGGGGGGCAAATGTCCGCCCCTTCCAAAGATAAGAGGGGGCAATGACCGCCACTGCAAAAAGGGGGCAAACTTTCGAGGGGGCAACTGTCCGAAGGACAATGTGTGGATACCCAGCAGACCACGAAAGACTTACATATGTATATTGTTGGCAAGTGTAAGATACATGAACCGAAACTATATTTTATGTAGCAGATTATAAAGTGTTCTGGAATAAAATATGATCGTTTATCATAAAATGTTTTAAACAAAATCAATTATAACTTTATTAACATTTTAAAATCGTAATGAGTATGCTGTGATTTCTGCTATATAGTTGTATAGGATATCGACCGAGTACGAGGTCTTTCTTTTTAGGAAAGACCTGGTCACGAATTTCATGTGACACCGAATATCGTTTCGGATCATGTATAACAATATATACATGTACATGTATATGTAAGTCTTTTGTGGTCTGCTTGACATTTGCCCCTGAAACAGTTGCCCCCTCGAAAGTCCCCCCCCCTTTTTGCAGTGGCGGACATTTGCCTCCTCCTGTTTAAAAATGTTAAAATATTTAATAGTTAAATTGTTTGTTACCGAAATTCATCGCCTACTGTCAAATAGTCGAACTTTCATTGTGCTTAAATACACAAAAACTCACACGCAAATTTGTGAAAACAAAAAAGCATCCATAAATAAATATATCGTTTGCATTGTTAAATAACATATATAAAATTTATACACGAGATGACCTCTGACAAGTCAAAAACAAGGGGACAAACGTCCGAGGAGGGCAACTGTCCGGGAGGCAACTTTCCTACAATGTGCTATGTCTGATACGAAATACTATCAACATAATTATTCATTATTTAACATACATTACACACCAATTCACTTTATTTTTGACAAATTGCACATTAAGCTTTTTATATTATTATTTTAAAGAGAAAAGCAGAGTTAAATGCAAAATATATATTATATTTTAGCAGAACGTTGATAAAAGCTTACCTATATATGCGCTGTGTGAAATATAATTTTCGTGCATTAGCCATTGGTCAAGCCAACAGTTTTACGGTGTGTAAGTTGGATATCGGCCTCGTACATCGATCTTTCTGTTTAGAAAAGACCTGGTCACGAATTTCATGAAACACCTCGAGCGCTACGCGCTCTCGGTGTCACATGAAATTCGTGACCAGGTCTTTCCTAAACAGAAAGACCTCGTACTCGGTCGATATCCTATACAACTATATAACAGAAATCACAGCATACTCATTACGATTTTAAAATGTTAATAAAGTTATAATTAATTTAGTTTAAAACATTTTATGATGAACGATCATGTTTTATTCCAGAACACTTTATAATCTGCTACATAAAATGTAGTTTCGGTTCATGTATCTTACAATTGCCAACTATATACATATGTAAGTCTTTCGTGGTCTGCTGGGTATCCACACATTGTCCTTCGGACAGTTGCCCCCTCGAAAGTTTGCCCCCTTTTTGCAGTGGCGGTCATTTTCCCCCTCTTATCTTTGGAAGGGGCGGACATTTGCCCCCCCCCTCCCTGTTTAAAAAAATATTTTATTGTTGAATTGTTTGCTACCATAATTCATCGCCTACTGTGGAAATTTCATGGTGCTTAAATACACAAAAACTCGCGCAAATTTGTGAAAGTCAAAATAGCATCCAAAAACAAATAAAACTAAAAAATCTATACACGAGATGACAAGTGACAAATAACAACGGAAAAGAGGGGGCAAACATCCGGAGGGCAACTGTCCGGGGCAAATGTCCTAGAATCTGCATTGTCTGATACGAAATACTATCAACATTCATTCTTTAACATACCTTCTTTTACAGTCTGCTCACTTTATTATTTACAAATTGCACATTTAGCTTTTTTGATTTTAAAGGGGAAAGCAAAATTTATTTAAATGCAAAAACTATATTGTATTTAAGTAGAACGTTGATAAAAGCTTACCTGTATATGCGTTGTGTTAAAAATAATATTTGTGCATTTCATCAAATGCTTCGGATCAGGCATTGCTCAAGCCAATATAGTTTTAACGGTGTGTAAGTTGGATATCGGCCTCGTACATCGATCTTTCTGTTTAGGAAAGACCTGGTCACGAATTTCATGAAATACCTTGTGCGCTACGCGCTCTCGGTGTCACATGAAATTCGTGACCAGGTCTTTCCTAAACAGAAAGACCTCGTACTCGGTCGATATCCTATACTTACACACCTCCTCTATTGTTTGTGACAGGTCTATATTTTTCGGATAGACCTGTTTAAACAAAAGAAAGTCCGTTATGAGGTCTATCTTTTGCACGTGCACAAGTCTGTTCTAGTCAGACAGACCCGGTCATGAAATACACGTGAAAAAATAGACCTGCCTATGCGCAGACAAAGAAAACATGAAATGCAATCAAATATTAAAACCCTTTTAACTAAGAAATTATTCCAGCATCCCTATATTCAATCTTTGAATAAGAATAATGGGTAGCATAATAATAATAATGATTTTATTGAACAAAAGGCAAATGCCTGTGAGTACATATATACATACATATAATACAAGTTTTTTTGTTTTTTTTACAAAATAATCAGTGGCGGTCCAATTCTATATAAATCAGCATAAATGTATATGATCGTAAAAAATATCAATCATCACTGCATGCAATCATTATCAGTTTGCAAACTATAAGAGGCGATTGGTGAAACAACAGTATCATAAATGCTTTTATGTAAATCTTCTCAAATTTTCAAACAGTTATACACCTATTATAGTCAACGTCAATAAGATTTTGAAAAATACAATGAATATTAAACATGAGAATTAAAAAACTTCGCACACGCACGCACCCATACATACATACACACACACACACACGCACGCACACACACACACATGCACACGTATACAAAAATATTATTAATACATCAAAATAGAGTCTTCCACAAGAGAAAAATGTAAAAATATATTTTGTGGAGAAAAGTGACTCACATTTAATATAAAACTATGCTACGGCGTTCCATGGCTTTAAATAAGTATATGGCAAGATTTGTATTTATTTGTTTTTGGTCGCTGGAAAGAAGTTCAACAAACTTTGGAATATTCGGTCTTTTTCGAAAATATTGTTTTATATATCTAATTCTTAAAGTTAGGACAAATTTAACATTTATTTAATCGCGTCATTTTTAGAGAAATAGTTATTCTGTCATTAAGTTCATAATATAACAAAATGGACGCTTCAAGTTCATATCTATGAATATCAGTTTGTTTTGTGTGTCTCACCTGCATGGTTGGGACTGACTAATCGGCAGATTAAGAATTAACAGTGCTGTTTCAGTTCATGGTCATACAAAATGTCATGTGTCTAATGGTCTTACGTAGCGTAATCCCAGATATAGTTGAAACGTTTCATTGCACTTTGATGACCCAATATCTAACAATATAAAATTATTTCGTGTCAACTTTTAAAACAGAATTGCACAAACACCAAAGAAGATAATGATGGCGTTATTTATTGTCCTAGTCCTAGATATACTAGCGAAAGAAATAGAGGGTATGACAGATCGGATGGCAGTTCATTCAAAGCAAGGTATATTTCTTAGGTTGTTTTTTTAGCTCACCTGAGCATATGCTCAGGGTGAGCTATTAGGATCACTCTCCGTCCGTCGTCTGTCGTCCGTCGTACGTCGTCCGTCGTACGTCGTCCGTTGTCCGTTCACGCTTTTAAAACGACATCTCCTCTGAAACCATAAGGCAGATCATAATGAAACTTCACAGGGATGTTCCTTGTGTGAAGCCTTAACAAAGTTGTTCAAAGAATTCCATTCATTGCAGAACTCTGGTTGCCATGGCAACCAAAAGAAAAAACTTTAAATATCTTCTTCTAAAAAACCCAAAGAGCTAGAGCTTAGATATTTGGCATGAAAAATCTTCTAGTGAGTGTCTACCAAGTTTGTTCAAATAAAAGCCCTGGGGTCAAAATTGGCTCCGCCCTAGGGGGTCATTGATTTTCCCAAAATGCATATAGTAAAACCTTAAAAAATCTTCTTTTAAAGAACCCAAAGAGCTAGAGCTAAGATATTTAGCATGAAACATCTTCTAATGAGTGTCTACCAAGTTTGTTCTTCAAATAAAAGCCCTGGGGTCAAAATTGGCCCCGCCCCAGGGGGTCATTGATTTTCCCTATATGCATATAGTAAAAACTTTAAAAAAAAATCTTTTAAAGAATGCAAAGAGCTAGAGCTAAGATATTTAGCATGAAACATGTTCTAATGGATGTCTACCAAGTTCGTTCAAATAAGAACCCTGGGGTCAAAATTGGCCCCGCCCCGGGGGTCATTCATTTTCCTTATATGTTTATAACAACAACTTAAAAGATCTTTTTTGAGAAAAAAAAAACAAATAGCTAGAGTTTAGATACTAAGCATGAAACATTTTCTAGTGAGTGTCTACCAAGTTAAATCAAATAAAAGCCCTGGGGTCAAAATTGGCCCCGCCCTGGGTGTCATTCATTTTCCTTATATGTTTATGACAAAAACTTACAAAATCTTATTTGAAAAAACTCAAATAGCTAGAGTTAGGATATTAAGCACGAAGCATCTTCTAGTGAGTGTCTACAAAGTTTGTTCAAATAAAGGCCCTGGGGTCAAAATTGACCCCGTCCCAGGGGACATCGATTTTCCTTATATGTGTATAGCAAAAGCTTAAAAATCTTCTTTGAAAAAAAAACCTGATTAGCTAGAGTTCAGATATTAAGCATGAAACATTGTCTAGTAAGTGTCTACAAAGATTGTTCAAATAAAAGCCCTTGGGTCAAAACTGGCCCTGTCCCAGGTGTATCATTGTTTTTAACTATATGTGTTAAGAAAAATACTTCTTTTAAAAAACCCAACAAGCTAGACCTTAGATGTTTAGCATGAAACATCTTCTAATGGGTGTCTACCAAGTTTGTTCAAATAAAAGCCCTGGGGTTTAAACTGGCCCCGCTCCGGGGGCCTATATACAGGTGAGCGACTTTAGGGCCATCATGGCCCTCTTGTTTCTTTTATGTCTGCCATTGGGTGAGCAGTTAATATTGTATTGCTTTGAAGAAAATATGTATAAAGACAATGTAAAATTGATGATCCAGTGTGTTTTGATTAATTTAATGAACCAAAAAAAAGAAATGTGTAATTGAAATTACTTAGAATCATAAATGCATTTACAACTTTCAATAGTCAGATTTATACATTTCTTATAGTTTGCCATACTTTTTTTATTAAATGAAAAGTTTTGGATTAGTTTAAACAATGGCATCTGTCACATTAAAATATTTTGACTTATGATTTTTTTCTAAACTTGGAAAAGAAAAAAAGCATATTTGGCATTATTTGCCACTGGGAATGGGTCTGTTAATCTGACCCGTGGTGACACTGGTAAAAATGCATGTTTTCATTAATTTTTTTTGGAAAACAGTTTGGTTTGTGAAATATACATTAAATATTATATAAGTACCTGTTGTTTGTAATAATCTTCTAGTCTTTCTTTAATCTTATACTGTACTTTTTTCTAGCTACATGTACCAGCCTTTCCAAGTGAATATTAAAGTAAATAATCTTTTATTTCCCTGAAAATATCAATTTAGAGATTTCATTTCAAAATCATCCAATACTACTCTCTTAGTGTGTGTATATACAGAGACATATAAATACATTTTATTTATTTTATGCTTTTCAGTGGATTACTGATTTATCCGTGAAAATTATATTTGATAATTTCACAGTGAAAATTATCAAAATATAATTTCACTTTTTTCAATGACGAAACTACTTTTTTAAGATTTTCCCCATGTGGTACCTCAATTTTATTTTTACGGACAATTCTGACAATGTCAGGCTGTAAAAAGAAATAGCAAAGCTGAAATAGATAAATAACTTAAATGTCAAAAGTAACACAGAGAGAAAACTTACTTCTATTCCTCAAATTCCAATCACCAAATTTCGTCTCTAAATTTTTTTTTGTTTCGTTTTTACAGTCTGAAAAATACATTCCTTCCCCATTCAAAACTGCTCTTGATGACATTTGGGCATATTAAAGTATCCTACGAGCAATAACTGCCGTATGCTTTATGAAAAATTGAAAAGCATTGACAGCCATCACTCGTAAAATAAGTAAATTAACCCAGCGTTCCTTCAGCAAGCTTCCAAGTTTTCCATTTTCCTAGCTCCTTTCTGAATGTTTTCACTACTGTCAACCCTTATTTTTTGTCTGTTACAATCCTCAAATAAGTTTTCTTTCTTTTAAAAAGGTGTATGACTAACAAATCCAAATTATATCCTTCTGAATCTTACACAATTATTTTCCTCCCATGAAATACACAACTTTAAAAAATGGCTGCCGTTTTACATTAAGAAAGCCAGGTCTAATATAAATTCGCAGTAAGTAACAGAAATATGGATGGATGGTTGGAATTTTCTCCTGCAAGAATTGTTTGTTTTTATTATTAAAACAAGCGATCATTCATATTTTTTTAATAAAATGAATAAATATCACCGTCATTTAACCTTGATTGGCGGACTTATTTTTTAGCTCAAGACTTCTTGTTTTAAATGAGAAATTCCGTCTAAATGGGCTCTCAATGGGGGAAACAGATTTTAATATTAACGTAAAAATTATGGAAATTTCGTTTTAACTTGTTTTTAAGCATAAAATAAAAAGAAAATTTGTCTGTTTGTTGTGTAAGATGTAATTTTATTTCATCTCGTGAACTTTAAAAACAGTATTCTCACTCGTGGCTACGCCACTCGTGAGAATACTGTTTTTAAAGCTCACTCGATGAAATAAAATTTCATCTTACACACAAACAAACAAATATCCTCTATGTATTTTAACGTCTCTGGTATATACAATGTATATATGTGTCTACACAATGTATATATATGTTTACACTATAATATGATTGTGTACAGCATGTAATGACATAATTAAAATTTGAAAAATTTATGATAATAAAATATTAATAATATTACTCCACAGTATTACCACTAAAATAGAAAATGTTCTATCATTTTATTATGATATCTATTTTTTACATGTAGATTTGTGAAAAAAATGTGAATATCAGTAGTGTCAAAAATTGTTAAATCATAATTATAAAATGTCTAATTAACACTGATAAATTACTTCAACCATGTATTGAGAACAGGTATAGATCATTTCCAACAGTCTTGCTGTTGTGTTGACATTTTCGCGACATGGTTGTGTGTCTGCCTTGTAATCAAGAGGTCTGGGGTTCAAATCCCTTTAAGTGCCTGAAGATTTTTCAGGTTAACAATTATCAAGGTGGCAGTGATTTTTTTTCAACTTTCAAAACAACCTGTGGCTTTATAAATGGGAAACTATAGCTTGATTAATCAGAAAAGAGGAAAAATTTCAACCACTGAAAATGGAATTTACCCATACATTTAAAAAAAGTGTAATTCAATTTAAAGGGGTTCCATTGAGGTATTTTGTCATGATGGGACTGAAATATTTTTTCCAGATAAATGTACCATTTGATGAATGTTTAGAACACTAATCTTTGTACAAACCTTTAGATCATTTGCGCACTTCGTTTTTCCAGAATAGTTATTCAAATTGTAAAAAGATGACCCAAAATGAAATGACTAGACTTTAAATAGATATAATAATTTATAAAGGTCAAAATAAAATTATTCTGAAATATTCAAGAATGTGCCCCATTTGGTAGAGACGTAACGGCCGTGACAAGACCAAAAAATTGTAGGCGTATATGCCGGTTTTCCTGTAAAGGCAGACATCTGTGTAATATCAATTTGTAAAATCTGTCGGTTTTGCAGTCTAAGTATGATCGAAAGAATCCGGGTCAGCTCGGCCCTAAAACGTACTCGGCCCCCGAGTCAGCTCGGCCCTATTCCAACTCGGCACGGGTCAACTCGGCCCACTTTTCAATTAATAATATTTAGGTTTGTGTTATCACTATTTATTGTAATTATTGTATTTATTTATAATCCATGGATTGACAGTTTCCGAACTAGCAGCAGACAGGCTTTCTTATCAGTAGAATAGTGAGTAAAGATAACTGATTGCGTATCTCACTGTATTTCTGACGCGTGGTAGGTTTAACCGTAAATTTAAATACCTTCAGTGTCCACTTAACTCATTCATTCAAATTTGATTAGTGGCCACCTGCAATTAATTAGAAGCTTATGATATTAAGTGAACACGTTTTTGTTTCTTATTTTTTGAATAGTACTTTTAATACAAACAAAATGCATCTAAGGAAACACATTTTCATTAGATCTATATTAATTTTATCGAATCTGCAAGACAAATAAATAACTTTTTTTTTCTAAATATACTTTATTTCCGTAGAAGTAGATCTACAATGTAAAATTATATAATAATAAGATATTTCTCATTATTCATTTACCTTAACAACATGCAAAGCAACGTTAATACGTTATATATATTTTTGTAAAGTGGGCCGAGTTGACCCGTGCCGAGTTGGTATAGGGCCGAGTTGACTCTTTTCCTGATCGAAATGTCTTGGGTACGAAAGACTCGAGATCTCCAAATTACTTCGAAATTATTTACGAAAGTTTTAGTCCTAGGAAACAAATTGGCATCAATAAATAAACTTAATATTATTTGTCATCAAATTCATAACATATTTTGCTTTATAACATACCTTATGAGCTTAACAGGCTGATAATTATGCTCGTGAAGTAGGTCGAAAAATATACCGGAAGTTGTCGGAATCATTTAACCTAATTATCGGCTAATTCAGAGACGAATAGATTATCTACATCTCTGGCTAATTCTATTTCAATATCCACTTTGCAATTATAAACTACAAAATTTATCCGATAAATAATGTCTTTTTCAAAAATTCTGGAATATAATACAAAAAAATGTGATGATAAGGCGGATGAGTAAGTTAAATATTGCAAGCCGTCAAGCACTATGACCCAATTAATTTACTATCCCATTCATAGAATTATGTGACCTTTCAAATTATATCCGCTACGTTTCTAATACCGTAATTCAAGCTCAATTGCACATTATTTTCAAAAAATAAATTTCTTGTCTCCACTTCTGTTCGCAATAAATCGAAGTTTTCAGAAATTCAGAGCACTATTTTTCACTCGCGGCGGTTATGCGTCGGTCATGGTCGGGTGATCACTATGAATTCAGCTTAGCTTGATATGTTAGAATACAATATAGCATTTAGAGTGGCGATGAAACGTCACAGCAGTGGGCGTTACCCTGTATGGTTGGAAATTTCGGGTTTGTAAGTGCACTAGTTGGGACTACGTCCCAACTAAAAAGTACATAAAAATCTTCCATTTCGCACATGCGCTTTAATCAGGCAACAGTTTCTACATTTTTAAATGAAAAGAATTTGCTCATAATGTAGGAACTGTTGCGTTTTCATATAATTTAACATGCCATACTATGCGACTGCAAGAAAGAAAAATTTCACCATCACAAACACATTTTATGTTTGTATTGCATAATGTAAACTAATAATCCTATTACAAGTGCGAGCCAAATTTCGAATACTATTAAAATATTTGTACTTTTTGCAGTAATCCGTGGTTTTGCAAGTCTTGTGTAATCAATTTCCTGATATTCAAAAAATGATTGCAAGTTGCAACATACCATGATATTATATTAACCAAAATCTTGTTGATCGCGAATTGGTAATGTTTAAACAGACATTGGAAGAATAACGACCTTTTGTAGGATCAACTACTAGGCCGGTTAGAACTTTTCTACCTATACATAGCATTTCATTGTACATTTTTGCATTGCATTGCGTTCCTTTACTTATACTTTTTTGCTTTCCGTTGCAAGTATTGCATTGCTTTGCATTGTATTGAGTTATATCGTATTTTATTTTACTGTTTTATTGTACCATATTGAACTCTCATTGTTGTATCGTATCAAATTATATCATATCGTATCGTATTCTATCATATCATATCCTGACTTATTGTATTGTAATGAAATCTATTATTTCATTTTTATCTTTAAATTATTGTTATGAAGTCTTGGTTTTGAAATGGATGGCGTCTCATCGGTAAAAGCAAAAAATCTATCCAAAAGCATAGCTGTGCTTTCGTACTTCGAAGATCCTTCAATTAAAAACTTCACGGAGGATAAAAAATACACAGAATTGATCTCTATACAGGTACAAGCATAACATTTATGTACACTATACGTTCTTTTGTAATAAATATAATATTTATGTAGGCCTAAGGCACATAATTAAGCCTTCAATAAGCAGACAGATGGTCATGGATTATATTGCAGCCGTTGGAACACACAGCGGTCGCTTTTTATCACGTATATGAATATCACATAGAATTTTGGCAATGTCACTTTCTTTAGACTGTTAATCGACCGCTACTCAACCATTTGCAGCATAGTATAATTATTTTGTTTATGTGATTGATAAGAATTTGTTAACCAAAAAAATACAAACGCAATAATTTAATTTCTTATTTTTCTCTCACAAATATAGGGAGACCGTTTAAACGTTGCAGCAAACGATGGAGACGTTGTCATAATGATCGGCTGTGAGAGGTGCAACATAACGAGTATGGCTCACGATAATATTATTTGTCGACCTCCAGTAGAAAAACCAACATGTATTAATTTGGTGAAAAAACAGAAATTCAGCGTCATTGTAAGTAGACATTCATTTTCGCTGCTGGATGTGACAAAATATTTGAACATTGCATTTCAATTACATACGACTTGTAATATAAATCCTGACAATGTTGCACAATTTCATAGTAGCACTTGATTAATGGTTGATTGTCCATAACACTCGCCCGGTTTACCCTTGACATTTATGCCCTATTCTTGTGCGGTGCCTTACTGGATACAATTCTACGGAGACTATATAAGGAAGGAGTGCTTTTAGTGGACTTTCACGTTTAAATCTAAATGGTTAATGTTGTAAATTAATCTAAGATAAAATGCTAATAAATACCCATGTGCTCGAATAAAAAGGTTTAACGCAACAATACTTTGCTTTTAAGGTGAATATCGGATTTCTGTCAAGAATTGTTGGTAATTTCACATACAATGATCCATCTGTTAAGCCGCTTGATGATACAGGGCGACAAATAATAACAAGAAGCGTTGTAGGGATTCTGATCTTTGGTCTTCTGTGTATTGTCTTTGTAATGTGTAGAAAACGAAGGCTTATGAAGAAAGAGAAAGCCGGTCTACAGTATAAAATGAATAAAATAGAAGCAAAGTTTAGAACTCAATGCAGAGAAGGTTGGTATCTCCTCTTTATTACCTTATAACAATGATTGCTTTAAGTAATTGATTAACCCAGCTGTAAATTTCAAATAGTTAATTTATTGGACATGAAGGTATTTTAGTACAGAGTACAATAAATATGGTATTAACATTATAAAGATTGCACGAAAGTACCGCCTGGTCTGCTTCTTTACTGGTGGCTACTTAAGCATAATTACTTTCGGTTCACACACGATAAAAGGATAGGTTATCAGTAAATTGACGAGTCTGTGAGATCTCAATACTGTTCGTTGCCTAAATTTAGTGTTGATATTGATATCCGTCCAAATTTAACGCAATTTAAAATTGAAAATTTACAAAAAGAAAACAAATAATTAAAGTATCTTAGATAAAAGTAGCATATCTCAGACTAGTTCAAATGTTTGCAGACATTTGTTAATTGAGCCATTGACTTTTGAGATTATTATAATTTGTTTTTGAAGAATATATAAAGAGTTCTTTTTTTCACTTAATGAATCGTGTATCTATACATTATCTCATTGGGATATCTGATGATTTTCAAGCAATGTGTTTGTTCTCTTATACGAATGATTGAAACTTATTATATATCTAGCTCCAAACTTACTCCTATATCATGATCATACAAAGATTAATCAGCTCAATAATAATCATAACAAGTTTTGTTTCAGAATTCGCTGCATTACAAACTGCCGTCTCTGATTTAACAAGCGATTTGAGAGGAGGGAAAAACGCCTTGTTTCGAGAATATGATGTGTATGCGAGTAAAACACTTTTTTCATCACAAAAGTCAGACATGTTGATGAACCAACAATCAAAGCCTGTAAATTTTCAAATATTGCATGAAATAATATCATTTTCTTCTCTCTTTTGGAGACAAGATCGTGTTTTATACAATACATTTTCTGTTAATGCTTCGTTTACAGGTTCACTGGTGAGTTATAGTTGATATTCTCCATCGTCCATCTGTATGTGATTAAGGCAAGAGCGGCCATATTGACATTATTATATTTTTCACAAGTATGCTTCGTCAAAACAAAATTACCAACATTCCTCCAAAGATTTGGAACAACACTGGCTTATAGACTGTACCAAAACCTTATGACAACAGAGCACATCGGCACTATCTTAGTCATTTTCATAGATTTAGATTAGAACTGGGTGAATCTGATAGCTGACGCGAAGGAACGGATTTGTAATTGAAGACCATATAGATCTAAATGCTTGAGCCAAAATACTAAATAGTGCAGTAGTCAAGTTAACAACAGTTCAAAGATGGAATACCACATTCTTATCTGCATCATTATCCTTTTTTTTATTTCAAAGTTTTCCGATGGCTTTTTGGACGCTCATATTTTGAAAAAAACGACATATATTAAGAACGTTATATCCGGCTGTCTAAAAGTGTGCAGTAGTCATGTGCGTTAAAAAGAATATTGCTACTTTTCATTTCAGACTGAACAGGCTCAACAAGCTTTGGATTCGTTTAAAGGATTATTACGTAATAGACAGTTTCTTCTCATGTTGATTAAAACATTGGAGAAAGAGCAATCCTTTACAATAAATGACAAGTAAGATATGATTATCATAATTATCACAAAGAGTAATTTAGAATGTTTAAGTAGCCTATTAACTATGGTGTATATCATTAAATTATAGACTGCTTATTCGACCCATTACCTGCCTGCTGAACCTGTGTCGTGGATTTGCCCTGCTTTGATTTGTTTGGAACGATCAATTCAGTTAAAGAGATTTCATTATCTTAATATAATAAATGAGCTACCAACAGTATAGAGGCTGATCAGACTGCATGGGTGTATATGGGTGTATATGCTTTCCTGACTCAATATTAATTGGTAGCAAAGAGTAATTACTTTCAGTTCCTTGTGGCATAATGGTTAATCTTGTAACGGTCATGCTTCCTCGTATTGTATACAAACTGGGTAGTTCACGAAAGCGGTCTAGAATGATCAATAAATAAGTTAAATAATGTTGTTTCCATAAACATATGGTCCATATGATCCATTATATAGAATTGAGAAAATATATAGCTTTATCACTTTTAAACATTATAAAGAGCATCTAGCGTGACCGTTTTGTACATTTTTATGGTTCTGTTTATCAAATGAATATGTTATGGCCAGGATCGAAATCGAAAAAAAAAA